CTGAAAACAGTCTATCAGATTAAGGCTGCTTACAACAAAATGATCACAAATTATTTGACATTCTTCCCATTGAGAGATGGAATCTACATGCCCCACCCCTGACTCTGGGCAAGTGTGTGCCAACTTTGACTTAATAGAATACAGCAGAAGTGACACCGTCTGATCTCCCAAGCTCCTGGAGGCTTCCTCTTGGTTCTCTGTTAGGAGGCTTCCTCTTAGAACACTCTCTCTCAGAACCTAGCCATCTGGGAGAAACCCTAACCACACGAGGCCACATGTAGGTGGCTTTGGTCAATAGTCTCAACACACACCTTCAATCATCCTAATCCAGGAGCCTGATAAGTGACATATGATTAAGCTTCCAGGAGACTCCAGCTTCCATTCATGCAAGTCACCCCCAACCATACGTCTTCCCTACTGAAGCCCCATACACCACGGAGACAAGCCAACCCTACAGTGCCCCATCTGAATTCTTGACTCACAGTGTCCAACAGCATATAAGAGGGCCACTGTTTTACCCTACTAAGTTTGGGTGGTTTATTAACAATAAGTGGACCATACACTAATTAATTTCAACATTTGCTCTCCTTCATAATTCACAAGATATTATTTCTTTCAAGCTAAAAAGGGAAGGCGGAGACAGATGAAGTTTGAACACCAATAATTTTGTTGCCTTTCTGGAATTTAGAAAAAGCATTTAAAATGATTAGCATAGAATGTTCAGATATATGAATTAACAAAGTCATGGGGATGTACTGTACGGAGCATCAACTATAGTTAATAATACTCTGCTGCACATATTTGAAAGTTGCTAAGGAGTAGACCTTAAAAGTTCTCATTACAAGAAAAAAAAAGTGCTTCTATAACTATGTACGGTTAACAGATGTTAACTAGACTTACTGTGCTGATCATTTGGCAATATATACAAATATGAAATCGTGATGTTGTACGGCTGAAACTCACAATGTTGTATATCAATTACACCTCAATAAAAAGTTGTTTTAAATATTCAGATAAAATCATCCCATAAAGCAGGAATTCTATTTCTCAACAAATTTTTCCATGTCAGAGCTGTGTCACTTTTTATTCATTGTGTACTTGTATAGTTATTAATTGATTCAAGAAATATGTTTCAAAAAAATTAAAAAAAAAGAAATATGTTTCAGGTGTCAGACACTATTTTTGTTGCTATCATTCAGCAATGAACCTACAAACTAAACGTCCATCCTTTATGGACATATATTTGGCTACCGGCTAGAGACCGTAAGCACGTAAGTACAGAATAATGAAAAAAAGCAAACATTTAATTCAGTGTTTACTGGGTGCCAGGCACTGTTACAAGCACATAGATGTTAAACAAATAATTTATACCTTTTCATAACCTGTAAGATCAGTACCATGATTATCTCATTTCAAAGGTGAAAAAAATGGAGGCACAGAAAAATAAGTAACTAGCGGTCTTATTGTTTACATATTAGAAAACACATGAGAAGAGTTGCCTAAGTAGCCTCATAGGCATGCCTCAAATAATGAAGCAGAGAAAGGTAGGGCCTGCCTATATATAACCAATTCCATCCTCATCTCAGCATTTACTGAGCACCTACTGTGTGTCAGGTATTACACTAGCTCTTGATACACTACTGTGAACAGGAAAGCCATATACCTTCTTGCTTACATTATAAGGACAGGTACATATGCACAGCGTATCTGTCTCTGTGCCATTCTTCTTTTAGGAGATAAGTTCCTAGAGGCTTGCACCATATTTCCTCCACAGTGAAAACTACCATCAAGTGCCACAGCTATAAGAAAAGTACCCGCAACAGGTTTCCAAAAGCTTCTAGTTCATAACACTAGGCCTACAATCCTCAAATACAAACACGCACTTCCTGTGAGGCTTATAAGCCTTAACAAAACAGCAAAAATATCATCTCACAGAAGCCAAGGTGTGCCAGATGTGCTTCCCGTAGTATCTCCTCTACTGAGCCACGCGTGCACTTCTCTTCCTGCAATACCCCAGACCTAGAGATACTAACCTCAGAGGCACCTGGTTTTCAGGTGAGTTCAAGACTGGTTTTTGAGTACATCTCTTTCAGAAAGAGAGTAAGTCACTGGGCTTTCTCTTCCACACCCTGGGAACCCAGCTGGCTTGAGTCATTGTGTGATTTCTTCCAGGCAATCAGTACAAGCGACAATGCCCTACACTGTTACTACATGGCTGCTGGAAATCGAGGCAGAGTCGTTTCCACAAAACAGCAAATCCTTTTTTCTTTTCTGGACTCCCAGAAGCTAACTTGTGGCAGCCTGGAGAGAACCAAAATGGGTTTGCCCATTGCTTTAACACCCCTGAAGCCAGCAGGCAGCAGCTCCCACTGACCACCTATGAGTCAGTCCTGTACCTACACGGTGAAATTTCCTGCTCTTACCGCGAACATATTCCTTTCCTTTCCAGAGCAAAGGGTAACTCTAAAATACAGGGTGTTCCCACTACCACAAATTTCCATATAATTTCATTGTGGGAACAAATGGTAACGAACACCACATGAAATCCATTCATGATGATATATTAATCTTAACTGGAAAAGAACTGAGTGTCTAATATTTATTCTCCATGGATACTGCAAGAATGAGTTAGGGGGCAGGAAGACATTTCTGTTTGGAACTTCAACTTCAAAATGTAAAACCTAGGTTATTTTCTAATGCTTACAATAAAGTAATCCTTAAATATTTTCCTAGAGTCCTTAAAAGAAATTTTATTCAATCATTCCACAATGTTTAGATGTATTACCCCCATTTTAAAAATAGTGTATTCATAATGAGAGTTAATCCGTCTTATAAAAAGTGCTAATAATTTATGAATATCTTTCAGAATAAAAGTTAATCCTTCCTTAAAATAGTGGTCTTCAAACTGAGGCCGATCTTCTCCCTCACAGCTATCATTAGCTGCCACACATCATGCAAGGAGCTTGGCACCATAGTCATCAGTGCTTCTGGTTACATCTCACGTGGTTTGCAGACTTTCTTTTGCTTCCATATTTGACACATAATGTAAGTACCACTATCCCAGCCAATTTCATTTCATAGTAAAACTCTCTCTTCAAATGTTTCTCTAACAATTAGATTTTTTTAGAAATACGGTCAATCCCCATGCATGGCACACAAAAATGGAAACTAAAGTGGAAAATTAAACTATTTAAAAACTACAGAATAGCAGAAATGGGGAGAATCATAAAATTCATCCAGTTCAGTCCCATTGTTTCAAAGATGAGGAAACTCTAGCCCTACGTTTCCTTATGAATTGTGTCTTAAAAACTTTAAAAAAAATGGGGATCCCTGGGTGGCGCAGCGGTTTAGCGCCTGCCTTTGGCCCAGGACGCGATCCTGGAGACCCGGGATCGAATCCCACGTCGGGCTCTCGGTGCATGGAGCCTGCTCCTCCCTCTGCCTGTGTCTCTGCCTCTCTCTCTCTCTCACTGTGTGCCTATCATAAATAAATAAAAAAAAATTTAAAAAAAAAAACTTTAAAAAAAATCAGCTGCATACTTTCCTCAAATCCCTTAGAATGCTGATTTCCAAATGGTGGCCCTCTGGCTCTGGAGCCCATCAGCAAAGATCTCAGGGGCCCCGGGGCTCGAGGGGTTCTAAATATTCCTCATCAACCAGGTCAGATCTTGTTTTCTCTATTTCCTATTTGGGGTTCAGCATAAAATTTCATTTGAAGAAGGAATGCCACTGTTACAACAAGTCTAATGAGTGTTGCTTTGATTCTTGAGTCAATTTATTACTATTTTTCTAGTGGAAACTTAGATTTTTTTCAATCCCAGTAGCACCACTGGGTGGTGAGGAGGCCAGTGGCGATGGAAGGTTCAGTGGTGTGGCCTCAAAATCACAGGAGGATCCAAGAGGATAACCAGGCTGTGGCTCCAGGAGGAAGTACACAAACCCTAGGTTGTCATCTTCGATCTTCCAAACAAATCAACTACAGTATCAATATGAGCAGAAATGTCAGCTCAGGCTGTGCGTGCTGCGGGCCCAAAGTATTTTTGACAGGGCTATATTTACAAATACTGACCATCATGCCCACTTTAGAAAACCCTGGACCTGGGGCTTTAAGCAGACTCACCTGACATTGTTCATTTTTTCACCTTTGAAGAGGAGATTTCATTCACTTCCATAATCACCGATCATGATTAAAGGAGGCTAAGAAATCCGTATTTCTACCTACCAGGTTTATCAGATTTCACTTATGTAAATACACAAAGACAAGCAAAATTTCCCACAATAAAATGTGAAGTACAAGTCCAATAAATAAATAAATAAATAAATAAATAAATAAATAAATAAATAAATAAATAAAAAAGTCCACTCACTTTATTAAATGTTACCCAAAAAGTTACTAAAAAACTTATTAAACTAAAATCAATTATTCATATATTTTATTTATTTCATATTTTATTTTGAATCATAAAATAATTTTGTTAGTGAAAATAACCCCTGGAGGATCCTTTATTTATGAACTGACTTAAAGTCCTAGAGAATACAAAATACAGTTGGAATAATTCTTATTAGTTTAGCAAAATTTTAAAGATTTTCAAAGTAAAGACTTTTAAGTTCTCTAAAAAAGATTTAGGAGGGGCGCCTGGGTGGCTCAGTTGGTTAAGCATCCGACTCTTGATTTCGGTTCAGGTCACAACCTCAGGGTCACGAGATCGATCCCACATTGGGCTCTGTGCTAAGTATGGAGACTGCTTGGGATTCTCTCTTTCTCCCCTTCCCCCTATGCACACACACGCTCTCTCTCTGTCTCTCTCTCTCTCAAAAAAAAAATGATTTAGGAATTATAAAATAATCTGAAATCAGAGTCTAACACATAGTCTGCAACACACTAAGGAAAAGAAATTGTAGTCTTATGTCTATCTCTTAAAGACCTGTGTATCTATAATATTCTAATATATGTATTGCTATTCTGAACTTTTGTAAAAGAATCCGAGGAAAATACTCACAGTTACTTATCACTCCTCCCAGCGGATCGCCTTTAAAATCAAATTCAATATCCATGTATTTGCCCTGCCAAAGAAAGACTTGGTGAGTTTTCAAGTTTACCTCAAAATATTCTATCAACGTATCTTCTTAGAGAACAGCATGCTGAGCCCTTTACATATTTGCTTAAATGTAATTAATACACAATTCATGTACCCATGAGGCAAAACAGTACACCTCCATAAATAATTCATACTAAATACCACATTAGCTCAAAGTTAACATATCATGTTGCTAATTTAAGAATAGATCTTCTTACCCAGCATGTGACTTTTTCATTTCAGATGGGTTTCAAAGGTCTGCAGTGTGTATTTAAGAATAAAAACTGGGAAAAAGTAAGTGCTCCTTGTATACGCACTAGTTGGGAATATAAATTATTTCATTTTTATAAGCAAAACGTGTTTTAAGCCATGGCTAGAAACTCCAAGTATATTGGACAGTGGATGAAATGGGACACATAAAGTTGTTTTTATATCTACTCAAACCAAATGCATGACCAATCAAAGACTGATCTTTATTACTCTCTTTGGCTTTTGATCTAGATTATATATATATATATATATATATATATATATATATATATATATATATAGTATGTTATCTCCCAGGTTCCTATTACATTTTATAGATGGTATCTTAAACACACAGAGACACACATGGAGTTTCATACTGTGATTTTTGAAGAATTCATCTATAAGTGTCTAGTTAAAGAGTAACAAGCCTAACAGAATAACCCTGACAGCTGGTTTTTGTTTGGAAAAGGGTGCGTTGGTCTAGTAAGTGGTCTTTGCTTTTGTATCATGTTCTATTTTAGTAATAGTCACATAGATGGCTTCTAAATAATTCTCCCCAAGAATGACTACTTTAAATCCTTCTATTTTCAAAATAATGGTAGGGGCTCAGAAACATGATCACACACACTCAGTCAACAATGCGATCTGTGACTTTGTATTAGCTTACACATGCTCCCTCGCCTTTGCTTTCCTCCTTGTCAAGGGCCACCTGTCCCTTTTAAGTTTTCTCTTATTCATTAAGCAAATGTCTATCAAGCATTTCCTAGATACTAACTGTAGGCACAAAGGAAACTAGGGCACAGTTCCTGCCCTCAGGGAACTTACAGCCTGAGAATTCAGACAGGCAGACAGGACACTACTGTTTATGGAGATAGATCCTACAGGAGGTCGGGGCGCTGTGCACGAAGAACAGGCAACAAAGGCTGAGGTCTGCCCTAGCTTAACTGAGAAGTATCAGGGCTAAGTCAGGCAGCGAGGAGGCGAGAGAGCAGGAAGGAGCAGCCATAAGAACAGGCGTCCATGAGGCTGGTGAGGTGACAGCAAGAGCAGAGCAGCTGCAAAGGAGGCAAGAAAGAGATGCTCCACAGGACAGTCAGAGGCTGACCACAGGAAAGGAGATGATTTTGGTGGAAGGTGGTTCCTGGACACAGCAAGTGGCCAGATCAAGAGCACCAGGTGGAGGGATGAGTGAAAGGCGGGAGTTGAGAACTGCCCAGTGTGATGGGAGGGTGTCTATACAGATCTGGGGATGGGGAGGCACCACAGCTGAGGACCTGGAGGAGGAGGAGGACGAGGACGAGGATGAAGACGACAGGGATTTCCATGAAGTAAGCAAAGTGTCATCAATTGAGAGGAACGGATGGGGGTTTGAAGACTACACTAAACCCCATGTGGAGTGGAAAAGGCAGCTGACCAGGAATAAGCTAACTGCACTGAGAACACAGACCATCTTGGAAAGGCATTGGTCCCATGAGCTTGTGATGAGTTAGTCTACTCAGAGAAAACCAAGGCCTGCCCACTGCCAAGGAAAGAAAGTCCACCCCCCTGGACCTGATACTCCAAGCCCTCCAGCTGGGGGCCCAACCCCTCTTTCCCGACCTTCCCATGGCTCCTCTCACAGACCCTCTCATCCAGCCACAATCTTGATGAAAGCAGGTCCACTCGGTCTCTCTCCTCAACTTCCCCACGGGGTACTGCTGGCTCTTCCCGCTTTCTACTCAGTGGGGGTACATTTCAATCTTGGGGCCCCACTCAGAACGGTGCCCTGCCCCCAGACTCCGCCAGCTTCTCTATTCGGAACTTCCAGTAATGTCTTGGGAACTTACTCATGAGAAACTTACTGTTTTATGTGCTGTGTTATAATTACTTTTAGACACGTCCATTTTTTTCCGACTAGTCTATAGGTATTCATTCGGGACACCTGGATGGCTCAGCTGGTTAAGCATCTGCCTTAGGCTCAGGTCATGATCCGGGGGTCCTGTCATGATCCGGGGGTCCTGGGATCAAGCCCCACATTGGGTTCCCTGCTCAGCGGGGAGCCTGCTTCTCCCCTTCCTCACTGCTCATGCTCTCTCTCTCAGTGTCTCTGTTTCTCTTCAAATAAAAACATAAAATCTTAAAAAAAAAACTATTCATTCATCAATGTTTTCTGAGTATCTACTATGACATCAGGCACTGTTGTGGTACTAGGGCCAAACATGGTGGACAAGAAGGCCGAGCTACTGGCTCCCATGGCTTCCACACTCTAAGGTCCATTATCAGAGAGAAACAGAGAAAGTGCACACAATAATTCCAGAGACTAATGAATGCCCGAAAAATAAAAGCACAATGAAGTCAGAGTCTAGAAAAGACATCATGAAGTGACATCTGAGTTGAGACCTAAATGATATAAAGCAGTGTCCATGCAGAGATCTGGACCCAGAGCACATCATGCAGAAGGACCAGCAACTGCAAGGATCTAAGGCAAGAAGGTGCTCAGCACTCCTGCCCGTCACAAAGGCCAAGGCCAGGCAGTAAGGGCAGGGTGCAGCAGGCCCCAGCTCATGCATGCAGGCATGGAAGGCTCCCAGAGGAGCCTGTACTGCACTCCAGGTGCAAGGAGGAGTCACGGAGGGCTTTCAGCAGAGCAGTGATGAGACTTAAATTTGTAAAGATCACTCTGGATGCCAGTAGGGAAATGTCTATCAGCTGCAAGAGGAGATGCAGGGAGACCTATGCTTAACTATTTAAAAAAAAAAACCAAAAAACAAAAAACAAACCCAGAGGTTTCAAACAAATGAATACATTGCACAGGGTTTGGCTGTGTGTGTGTGTGTGTTTTTGTTTGTTTGTTTGTTTGTTTTGTTGTGTTGTGTTTTTTAATTCTTACTGAATGAAAGGGTTGGTAATAGAGTTTTCCTGACCCTATGCATCCTCCCCTACAGTGCCTAGCTTGGTTCTCCCCATTATAGCAGATGCTCAACTATTACTCCTCCTCCTTCCCCCTGGTGGACAACAGTGATTTCCAAAGACTTAAAATGTGTCTTTTCAAAAACAGCGGAGGTCACTTTCTTAATAGAAGTTCAATACATCACACCAGAGGTACTTCGGGGGTTGGAGTACTATGGGGCACCTCCATGGGAACACTGGTCTAGTAAGTCAGCTGCACTGAGCATGCATAACTACCCCACTGCACACTCTACCACATTTCTCAGTGAAGAGATCAAGAAGTTCATCAAACACAGTCAAAGGAAATGCAATTTCCCCAGAGTACAAATGTTTAACGCATAACTCACTGTTACGTGTGTGTGTATATAATGACTTTAAATATAGCAGAGTCCTATCAAAATATAATGTGGATTTGAGTATATTACTGCTCAAGTCTCAGACTACAAAGCAGGGAAGTTACTAAAAACTGGACATGAAATGATTTAGTCTACAATCAAGTATTAATCTCATAGCCTAATACCCATGTTATAATAGGATTTCTCTGAAGTTACTTATTAAACTAAATCACCTGCCAAGCCTTTCACTAGATTTCAGACATCACAAAGTAGTAATGACTCTTGAGGTGATATGGTTTTCTGCATTTTTATAGTCTACAGACTAAATATATTTAGCAACTTTTTTTAAAGAGTTATGTGTATAATTTGCAAACAGCAAAAAAAGGAAAATCTCCATAAAGGAGCTTGATCTCTTGGAATTACTTCTATCTGCCCACACTTTGCTTCTAAGTCTATTTATATAATGAGATTAGCCATGTTACCACAACAGGAAAAGGCATGGCTCGAATCAGCTATAACCACGTAAGGGGCTAATCCAATGGAAATAATTCACAGCCTGGAATTAGGCACCTCAGCCTTCCACTTTCAAGCTACCAAAACTACCTCTACCTGAGGTCACTGTCTTGCCTTAAGCATTGGATAACTCTAACAAGAAAAAAAGCAAAAGAAAAAGAGACTAAAAGAAGTGGGGAAAATGGGCTGGAAGGGTCTCTGGCAGAGAGGCATAAAAATCATCCAAAAGGGTCCCATGCACTTGATGGGATGAGCACTGGGTGATATGCTATATGATGGCAAATTGAACTCCAATTTAAAAAAAAAAAAAGGGGTCCCATGTAACATATATGAAAAGAGGGCTTATAAAGTAAATGACTTTTTATTATAAAATGTGTAAGACTGGTTAAACTATAGAAAAAAGGGGACAATTTCAAAATGTCACCATCACATTTGACGGACCCCCCCCCCCTGCTGCCACAGGGCAACGTCTGTGTCTCCATAGAGACCAAAAGAGGGACAGCGGGTGCTCAGCTGGAAAGAGCCCAGTGGGCTGCCGTGCACAGTGCACGCTGGGGAGGGCTGGTCAGGCGGGTGTGTATTGCTGCACTTAGCATTTTCCAACTCAACCAAACTCAAAACATCAATTAGCTGCAGTTTTTACCCTCCAGTCCTCCTCTCCACCTCCTGCCAGTAGTTATCAAATATGATGTCTTTACCTCTATAAAGCTTCAGCATACCCTTCCATCCTTCTCCGCCCCACTGAATAAAGGACAAAAGCTGTGGAGTGCACAAACCTGACACTCCGTTTATCCTTCCTTGTACTTAATCTGATTCTTAATTGTGATTTTTAAATACCAAAACTCCAATAAGGAAAGAGTTCTTCTAAAGAACCTCATCTAAATTGCCCATGGAAGTCTATGATAGATGACAAGAAAGTATGAAAGAAAATGCTGTCACTCCAAAAAGAATTAAAAAGAAAAATCCCAGAAAGAAAAAATAGTCCTCAAAGAACTTTCAGTGTCTGAACAGCAATGGTGTTCTTATTTTTCAAATGTGTATATTAAGGAATACTAAACATCTACTGGTTGTTTAAACATACATGAGCTAAATATTAGTGTTAACACTTATGCTTATACAAATACTTACAAATCTAGAAGAGTTGTCATTCCTTACAGTCTTGGCATTTCCAAAAGCTAGTAAGAAAGAAACAGATGCATGGGTGAAATTGACAGAAAAATAATTTCAAGCAGAAATTTAAAGCAAACGGAATATTTGACAGCTATAAATCCTAGAAAATACAACTGGTAGCAATGACATTTCTGACCAAACTTCCCTAGAAACATACTGAACACAAGTCTTAAGAAGTTGCTAAAACTTCCACATCTAATTATATGCTCACAGAAAAAAAGGAGTCATTCCTATGATTCATGGAATTTTTTCCAAATATTACTATAAATGTAATCTTGTCTAATTAAATACCTTTTACTGTTTCAGTTGAGTGGACAGATAGCAAGCAAGGCTTGTATTCTCCTCCACCATTATCGTCAGTTATTTCAGAGATAACTGCTTAATATCACCAAAGGCTTTGTAGAACTCGATGAGGTTTCCAGATGGAAAAAGGCACAAGAAACTTTATTTAACTAATTTTAAAATAAAGCTACTGAAATGTGATCACGTACATAACTGTGAAATAATAGAAAGAATAAGAGATTTGGAAACTAATATCATTTCCAAAAGGGCTAAAAATACTACATAGTTTCGTTAGTTCATATCCATCAGACCTAAGTGAAACTTTCCAGGAAGAAAGAAAACCAAATTGGCCCATAAGGCACAATCCAAGTTTATACCAAACTTAGCTGCCGTGAGAAGCCGAATCTCCCACAGGATCCCTTTTAAGAAAATGAGGCCATACAAGACCCACAGGTTGATGCCACCCCAGGCACAGAATGCTCCTGATCAATACAGGTGGTTCATAGTGTCATAAAGAAAAGGGCTGGTTTCACCAAGCTTGTACGCACAGTAGGGGCAAATTAATCTGGGCCAAGGTAATAGAGAATTAAGCTGAATCAAAATATAAGGCATATAAGCAGAGGGATCCCCGTCTGATGCTTTGGAAGAAGCCCAGCAATGTACCTCAAACCTCAATGTGCAAACTAGTCACCTAAGGATCTTGTTAAATGGGTCTGGAGATGGTCACAAAATCCTGCATTTCTCCCGGTACTCCCCACTCCATCCACCCCTGTTACCAGGATCCCCGGGCCCCCACTGCAGCTAATAAGGACTGAAGAGCATGCAGTGATGGGGCAACCAGAAAAATGAATCTTTAGGATTAAGAGGCCAGGCATCAAATCCATGGAAGCCTCCAAAACTTCATTAAATTAAACAGAGGGAAGATTAGAGTAACAAAAGCCCAAATGATTACCAAGGGCTAAAAGCTGATCCTAAGTCTGAAAGCAGTCACGTGATCAAGGCATGCCCATGTGTTTCAGTTGAGGTTCACCTGGGATAGTCAGTAGCCAAACCCGATGTGTTATATTTCGTGTTAGCTGGCTTTTTTATGTTTTTGATTTTTTAAAAAATAGTTGGTTCCTGCTCAGTTATGTCAAAACTTACAAAGTCAACACAGGGAAAGCTCTTCCTATCAGCAGCTAAGCTTGGGAGGGGTATAGTATGGTAGGTCTCTGAGGCCAAATTCTCTTTAGTGAAAAATCAGCTGAGATGCTCTGCTGAGTGGGGAAACCCGCACACAGGAAATATCAAAAAAGGATGCTTACATCATTATCCATGTCCACCACCAGCTAAAAGGCTTTAATAAATGCAGCCCTGAAAGTGCTGAGTGTTGCCCCCTGCTCATGAAGACCATGACATTTGTCATGTTTTCACAGGCCAGTCTTTCTGGTGGGCATGAACATGTAGGGGTGGCAAGTTAACTAACTCGCACAGCCCCAAAGTCCAGCTTGGGATGCTGATGCATAAAGGACAGTTTATTGTGGCTTGAAGGTCAAGGGCAAGTGAAGGAATTGCTTCAAAAAAACTTTATTCAGGGCGCCATTTGCATGCCATAAACCATCTTTTCATCAAACAAATCTGAGTTGCACACACAGCTCTAAACACTAAAGTCTTTTATTGTGAGCCACAGAATCAAAGACAAGTGCTTCATTATAGAACACTTGAGACACATTCCTCCATTGTTTTTTTAAGTTCATTGTTCTAAATGTTCATTTACAGTGGCAGTTCCAGTTAAAAAGTAAAGCATTCCCATAAAAAATAATACATGCCCACAGCAGACATTTCTCCCATTTCCTGCACTGGGGCCTCATTCCAAATACCATCAAATAAAGGGCCAGATTCTCATCACAGATGCAAGCTATAGCATTCCACACTGCTTCTCCTTTAGATCACAGCATTCTTAAAATAAGCATATGCAGAAATACAAATACAGCACCGGACTTAAAAGCAAATGACAAAGTAAACAAAAAGTCAAATACTTCATAAAATGAAGACACAGCACTTTCTGCAATGGCTTCTTTAGTCATTAAGGTACCAAAGGGGAGAAGAGATCGTATCAATGGAATAGATGCTGCAGCCTTTGCTTTTCACAGGTTCAATAAAGTATTTTCAGTAGTCCTATCTCACTAACTGGGGATGAAGAGGCATGGTGTCTCTTTGTAATAAAGTGGGAGGGGCTAGGTCTAGTTAACAAAGGCAACAGGCAGGGTTCCCTCCCTCCACACTTGGGGGCATCCTACTCACCCCAAAGCACCTCTGCTTTAATCCACATTAAATCTTTTTTTTTAATTTTTTTTATTTATTTATGGATAGGCACACAGTGAGAGAGAGAGAGAGAGAGGCAGAGACACAGGCAGAGGGAGAAGCAGGCTCCATGCACCAGGAGCCCGACGTGGGATTCGATCCCGGGTCTCCAAGATCGCGCCCTGGGCCAAAGGCAGGCGCTAAACCGCTACGCCACCCAGGGATCCCCAATCCAAATTAAATCTTGACCCTCCAAGGCTTTGAACACAGAGTTAAACAAAACTACTCTTCTAGAACAAAGACTCTGATCAGGGCTGGTTTTGACCCTTCCCCATTTGGCAATGTCCAGAGACATTTTCAATGCTAACAACTAGGGGAAGGGGTACCTCTGGCACTGAGTGGGTAGAGGCCAATAACACAGCTAAACATCTTACAATGAGTACGCTGGACGGCACTCCATAGCAGAGATTTATCCAGTCCAAGATGAGGTTGAGAAACCCTACTCTATCCCGACAACTGTATTAAGCGACAATAAAGACATTCTTACAATATAAAGCAACATTAAGGGCTTGCCATCAATAGGGAAAGACTGATTTGCTGTTTCCAAAGCAAAAAATGGTTTATATCTATGGCATTAGGGGGATTCACCTCTGGCTTTTTCTGATGGCAGTAGGGACTACATGTTATGTGCCCCCCACCAACGTTTATGTTGAAGTCCTAACCCCTATGTGACTGTATTCGGAAGTGGGACTTTTGAGAAGTAATCAGGTTTGATGAAGTGATGAGCCAACCCTGCCCTTGACCACCACACACAAAGAAGAGGTCTGTGATCACACAGCATGATGATGACCACCTGCAACCAAGAGGCCTATCTTGCCAGCACTTTCGTCTTGGACTTTTGAACCTCCAGAAGTGTAAGAAAATTAATTTCTGTGGTTTAAGCCACCCAGACTCTGGTGTTTTGTTATGGCAGCCCGAGCTAACTCACACAGATGGCCAACCATAGGATCTAAATTCTAGAGTCAGGATTAGGCTTTCTGTGACCCTGAAAAACATAGTCCTTTAGGAGTTTCTCTGGCACCGCCCGTCTGACAACAGAAATAAGCAGCCACAGGTGTTACCCTGAATGATAAAATAGCACTGCACACATGCTACTTTTTTTTTTCCCACCAAGTTTGTCCTAGCCCTCAAATCAAATGCAAATATCAGCTGATCATTTTTAGGCAAAACTGAAGTGATTCAAATAAAAATTGAAAGGGAAAAAAATGAATGTAAGTGGGAGCTCCTTTTAGATGAGTAAACTGTTTCCTCCTTTAAGTACCTGAAGCCAAGAGTTCTTAAGACACAGCTCATTTGCTCAGCAGATCTGGGCCTGAATCTCTTACTTCCTCTTCTCTCTCGGCCCTCGGGCCCACCTCCCAGCCCACGTGATCCCTGAAGGGCTCTGCAAACTCGGTCTACTTTACGAGTCACACTGACCCAATGTACACAGAAAATCCTACCTTCCAGAACTGGGTTGGATTGCAAAAGCTGTTCTTTGACTTGGTTCACTTCTGCTCCTTTTCCACAAACAGCTGCTACATAGGACATAACAAGCTTGCTGGCCTCTGTGGATGAAAACAAATTGTATCAATAAATTAGTAGAGATCTGTAAAAACATTTTGGAGGAAGGAAATTGGTGTAGAGGATCCATTAATAATACCTTCAAATACCTTTATAGCTGGGAATAAATAATGTTTCAGAAATCTTTTAAAATATGTGTGCTTTCCACCAGTCAGAATGACTAAAATTAATAACACAGGAAATGACAGACATTGGCGAGGATGAGGAGAAAGGGGAACCCTCTTGCACTATTGGTGGGAATGCAAACTGGCGCAGCCACTCTGGAAAACATTGTGGAGGTCCCTCAAGAAGTTAAAAATAGACGTACTCTGCGAACCAGCGACTGCACTTTTAGGTATTTCCCAAAGGATACAAAAATACTGATTTGAAGGGATTTAGGCCCCTCGATGTTTATGGCAGCATTATCAACAATAGCCAAATTATGGAAAGAGCCCAAGTGTTCACTGACTGATGAATGGATAAAGATGTGGCATATATATATATATATATATATATATATATATATATATGGTCCTCTATATATTCAGGGTAATACATCAGGGTAACACTTGTATATATATATATACACACACACGTATAATATATATATATAATAATGAATATATATAATAATGAATATGTAATGTGTATATATATATACATATATATATATAGTGGCTGGATTATTACTCAGCCACCAAAAAGAATGAAATCTTGCCATTTGCAATGACATGGATGGAGCTAGAATGTATTATTATGTAAGCAAAGTAAGTCAGTCAGAGAAAAATAAATATTGTATGATTCACCTGTATGTGGAATCTTAAGAAATAAAACAATCATGGGGGGGAAAAAGAGAGGAAAACCAAGAAACAGATTTTTAACTGTAAAGAACAAACGGATGGTTACCAGAAGGCCAGGAGGTGGGGAGATGGGTTAAATGGGTGTTGGGGATTAAGGAGTGTACCCTGGTTATGATGAACACCAAGTGCTATATCTAAGTGTTGAATCACTAATTTCTACATCTAAAACTAGTATTACACTGTGTGTTAACTGGAATTTAAATAAAAACTTAAAAAAAGGTAAAAATTTAAAAAATATATTTATGCTTTCTATTCAATGACAAGTCATTAACTCAGATATAATAGATGTATATAATATAATGTGCTTAAAGGTCATCATCACCGGGATGAAAAAAAAATTGCTAAATAATATAGCCAACAATATGTCAGGAGAACAATCTTCTTAAAATAATCATTTAAACATAACTATGATATTATATAGATAATTCAAGCCAAAAATATTTTGGTAATCTGGGTAGCTTTACAAAGATATTTTTAAAGTTTAAAAGAACTGTCCTCAAAAATATTGTCTAAATCAAACTGGTTTGCTCACAACTAGACTAAATTAATTACTCTCAAACTTAATTTAAACCACTAAGCAGTTAACAAAAACTTGGTAACAAGAAAGCTAGCTTCTTCCGGGGCAGAGTTGTTTTCACTGGCTTTACCAGCAACTCTGAAAGGGAATTGCTAAAAGAAGCCAGCTTCTTGAGGATACCCAGAATTCTTAGCTCAAAAGTCGACAAGATTTGGTCCTAGTGGCTTTATCCATTGGTGTCATTCAGCCCATGTCCCCCCTCAGCATCTGCCTCCCAGAAGCTGATCTTTCTAATACTGCCTTCCGAGGAATATTAATAGATATTCAGGGAAAATGAGGTCCAAAGTCAAACGAATTAAAAAAAAAAAAAAAAAGTCAAACGAATTTGACAAAGTGAAATAGGTTTCTTTTTAAAAGGCTTCTTGAAAAAAAATAAAAAAAAAAAAAATAAAAGGCTCCTTGGAGGATCACACGCATGGTGGAATTCTAGAAAAGGCTCTAGGAATGCTACACTTGGGACACCTGGGTGATTCAGTGGTTGAGCATCTGCCTTTGGCTTAGGTCATGATCCCCGGGTCCTGGAATCAAGTCCGGCATCAGGCTCCCTGCTTCTCTCTCTGACTCTCTATGTCTCTCATGAATAATTAGAATTAAAAAAAAAAAAGAAAAAAGAAAAGAAAGAAACAAACAAACAAATACTACATTTCCCAGACTGGTGTACCATGGAATCTGTTTCTCACTGAGCTGCCCTGGTTCTGCTTTCCCATAATCAGGGCAGGGCTCAACTCTTAATTGTCAGCAGAATTGAACACACACCTTCATTTGGGCAGTTGAGGCAAGGAGACTCATGCCCCAAATCCTGCTTTCCCTGGAGCCTGTGTACTGGTGTCACAGCCCGAGAACAGGGAGCCCTCGTCCAGTCCGAGTGACAGTGCCTCTGCCCACGGGTGTACGGGAGCAAATCTCCACCCTGTCATTTCTCGTACAGAGACCCACAGGTGGCCTCCTGTTCCACTGCTCAACATGAAGAAGTACCAAATAGGCAACTGGAATGCCTTGCAGCTCACCGCCTGACACCTGCTTTAGGGCTTTAGAGAACCCCCACGAGCACTGACTGCCAGAGCCACTGAGCAACACGAATCTACATCAGGTCACATAAAGTCCTCAAGGCCTGAGGTCTGAGCAAATAGGGTACAGGCCAAGTACACAATCTCATGGAGCCCCGAGAAGTGAGGAGGGCAGCTGGGTACTACTGCAATGGTTGCAGGGAAGTCTTCCTCCAGTCTGCTTCCTGGGTAATGAAGGTGGGCCCCCGTAGATCCTCCAGTGGTCTGTGATGGCTGATTCTGGTTGTCTCCTTTTAGGGACTGTAACTGAGAGATGCCAATCTTTTCGCCTCTGGGACTCCTTCTCCAGAAAGCCACTGTCCTTTCACATGCCTGCTGGTGTGTCAAGTTTCTGAACTACATTTCCCACTGTTCTCAGGGTTTCAGTGTCTGAAAGCTGGTGAATCATGTCTGTATGGACAAAGAGCTTATATGCTCCCACATGTCATTTGACTTGTTGGTGCCACAATTTCCTCTATCCCTCAGTCTGAACTGGAACTCTTCTTCTGGTTGCCTCAGGATACTTTCTTCTAGGCTCTCTGGCTTTCAAGTTCAGGTGACGCTACCTGCTGAGTAAATTCCTAACATCCTGTGCCATCTGGTCTCCAACTCTGGGCTGCCTCTCCTGAATTACCCATGCATCCTGACTCTGCAGTCTGGCCTCTGAAGCACCTCACCTGTAGGCCTGCTTTCTCATCATTCCACTCTCTCATTGGTACCTTTGCTCAGCATCCTCCCCTCCACCCGCACGTATGTTATTACATCCTTGACAGGAATTTCTGGCCCATCTTTCCACCCATTATACTCTTAGAAGACTAAAAGCATTGATAGGCACAATAATGGTCTCGGAGAGTGGCAAATCCAATAGACACACATATAAACATATGTATTTTAGATGAAAAGGTCAGTCTCAGGTAAGCTGACAATAAATATTAAAAGTCCAAGCCAGGCTGTTTTGCTTATTCCAGTGATTATGGACCTCAGTGTAGCCAAATCTCAAACTTCAGACACATGACCACACTGGATTCTCTGGAATCTTGTTTCTGGTTCAGGATGGACTCTTAGGGACAAAATGCTGGGGGTGGGTTTAGAGGCAAGAATCAACCAAGAATCAAAATTCTCTGGTTGCTGTTGGAATTGACTTGGTGTCTCAGAGACTTATAATGGCCAGCATGAAACACAATCACATTTTCTCAGAGCCACATCTGTTAAATAAATGGTACTAGGAATAGATCTTTTGGAATTTGGATTGCACTTACATTATCTGGCTATTAAACTGCATATAAATCCACAGAATCTACTGAGATAGAAACATGAGTGAACTTAATTGAACTTAGGAAAAATTTTTATTAACTTTAAAATTTACTGAAGTAATTAAAACATAATTTCTAAATACAGTTCAAGGATACATATTCTTAAGTTAGTAAAAAGGTTGTACATTCAATTTTTCACTATCTTCAGGAAATCTAATACTGGGTTCATTTTAATTATTCATTTTTGGAAGCCAGGGTTAACAGTAGTTTCTTTGGGATACCTGGGTGGCTCTCAGTGGTTGAGCATCTGCCTTCAGCTCAGGGCGTGACCCCAGGGTCCTGGGATCGAGTCTCGCATCAGGTTCCCTGCAGGGAGCCTGCTTCTCCCTCTGCCTGTGTCTCTGCCCCTCTCTGTGTCTCTCATGAATAAATAAATAAAATCTTTAAAAAAAAGAGTAGTTTTCTTTAAACAGCCTCATTATCTAAAAGAGCCAAGTCCTATAATTTTTTCCCTGACATAATTCATGATTTTAACTTAAGCAGTTCATGAGATGCTCACTACTTCAGAGAAATAAGTAGAGCAGTAAGGATAAGTTGCAAGATGCAACATAGTTTAGAAGACTGTTCTCATAATATTTCACCATGCTGGAAACAGGAAATAATAGTTATCTCATGAAGCTTTCTGCTTCATTTCCTCTTGGCCCTTCTTGCTAAAGTTCAAATAAATTTGTATCTTTAGTCAAGTATTTGGATATTTATCCAAATAAAAACTTTATATAACAGCCTCTATGAATGAAATATATTTCTAAGAATCAAGAACTATCATCTTCAACATTATGAAGTCTAGTTTTTGAATTATGTTGACTGTAATAGAAAGTAACTAAACATGATCTTGGCAATCACAGCATAAAATTGGAAGCATTTTTCCAAAACAACACTCCTGAACAGACTGTGGATACTTTAATCCTGTAAACATATTCTCAATGACGATGTCTTTCATGTACATTGTAAAAATAGAAAATGATTCTATTTGAGACAAAAAGGTATGTTCTTCACGTGTATTCAAAATTCTGAAAAGCACGGCTAAAACGTAACGGCATTTGCTTAGAATCAATTCTTAGTCCATCATTTTCTCTCACTCATAGGAGCATCTATGTAAATTTATGAACAAATATATATATTTGTTCAATATTATATATGTATATAAACATACATATATATATATGTTTGAATCCAAGTTGAATTCTAAAATTCATCAACAGTCAAAGA